ATGCTCCTGCCATCCCCGCCAAACTCCGCTCCGAGCCTGATACGCCGCACCGAGACCGACCTCGCGACCGCGACATAGAATACGACCAAGACCGTCCGAGAACCAAGGACCGTGCCCGCAACCGCGACAAGGCCCGCACTGTCGACCGCGAGACCGACTACGACAAGGACAGAGAGAGACCCAGAGACCGCGACAGGGACCGCGACCGTGACAGAGATCGAGAACGACGTCGCCGCACTGACTCTCGCCCGGAGCGCGACCGTGACATGAACAGGGAACGCACTCGCGATAGAGAACGCGACCCGGAACGCTATCGAGAAAGAGGCCGTGAGCGCAACCGCGATACAGGTCGAAGTCGCGACCGCGACCGCGACAGGTCGAGGGAGAGGACCCGGGACAGGTCTAGAGAGCGCACGCGAGACCGCTCACGTGAGCGCACTTCAGAGCGTATCAGGGACAAGGAACGCGACCGGGAGAGAGATCGTTCCAGCCGCGACCGCGAAAGGACTGCAGAGCGCCCACTGCAGCGAAAATCAAAGTCGGACACAGATGGCGAGAGCAATCGCAGCGCAAGGGGTAGCGATAGGGACAAGAACCGCAGGGGCAAGGATGCGGAACGTAGTCCGGTTAAGGAGCGCACGTCCAAGGTCCAAATTCCGAGCAGTCGCCCTACTGGTGTTCCTTTGAGCGTTTCGACACCCGACAGCAGCGCGAATGGGAGCCAGGGACGACGGAATACGAGCGAAACCGTTGCCAAGGAACTCAGTTCAAGAGACAAGCCGCGCCTCCCGCGGGCAGAGTACAGCAGTGCCCTCGCGAAATCGAAAGAGTTGAAAACAGCCTTTGACACTGCCAGTGACATGTGCACCGCGTCGCTCGCGAAGAAGGACTATGACACCTTTGAGAAGACAGCGATCCTTGCCTTTCGGCATGGCTTTCAGTGGGCGTTGGCGCGTGAAACGTTGTTCCGCCTGAACGAACGAGAGCTGCGAACGCATCGGAGCAAGTTTCCGCAGGCAAAAAGGGATATTCTTGACTATTACCGATTCCTCACCAAAAGTTTTGCGACACCGAAAATCGCGGAGCTGGAGAAACAAGACCGAAGGGCAGCGGCCGCCTTTCTAAAGAGGGGTGTGCAAAAAGTGTACCTTCGTATGTTTGCGATGCAGCGGCTCTTTGAAGTGCGCAAGTACGAAAGCGAGGCGCAGGACGCAGTGAAAGAGGCGATCGAATCGAATCGAGCGAATGGTGTCACGAGGGGCAAGCAGCTGTCAACGACGCACTTGAGTAATCTCAAGCTGATCACGACGGATTACGGAAATGCAATGCAGATTTTGGAGCACATAATCGCGGATACGGGACAAGGTTGCGAGGAAGCAGGAAGCGAATGCATGGTACAGTGAACGTCGCTCCTTTTGTACAAATGTTGCTGGGGGCGAGGCAGACTGGGCGTGTGTCATTTTCCATCAGCTGCGGTTATCGCCCGACCGCACAGCCGAATAGGCATTTTTTCGTTGCACCGTAAAAAGCAAAAACCCCTCCCGCCACCACCAAGCTGACTCCGGCACACGCAAGCTTTACTGTCGCCGAGCCAAAACGCACTGCACAAGCGGACCAAGGGCACTCACAAAAACTAAAACTGCACTATCACCCTAAACGACGCCTCTTAACTTGGACAGTAACACCCTCTTACAACACAACCCTCCTCGCCACCCGACTGCCCCCCACGCTGCCCCTTCGTCTCTCCAGCACAAACGGTCTGTCCGGTTTGCAACTCGCTCTGTCGTCCCCATCCTCACTAGTACTCTCGCTGCCATCCTCGCCAATAAATGGGTCATCCGCATCCGTCTCCTCGCCCTCCTTTTCTTCGATAACCATCACCTGGACGCCCTCTAGCACGGCGCTACCCCCGCCCACTCTCACCCTCCGCGGTGGTCGAACCATCCCCCTCGCCTCCGCCACCATGACCTCCGAGAACGCGGTGAGCCTCGTCTCCGACCCGCTGTCAAACTCGTCGTCCTCCTGTGTGACCATCTCATTAGGTTGCAGGACTCGGCCCGGTCCCCTGGGGATTCTCCCCCTTCCGTGGATTCCGCCTCCGTCTTCTGGCGGGCGTCGATTTCTTAGTTTCTCCCTACGGGCTTTAAACACTCTGTAGGCAACGTACGGGCCGCCACCCACCAAGGCGGCGGCTATGATGATGGGGGAACCCAGGACGCCTGCAACCGCCAACCCCGAGTAGGCGGCAGCGGTCATGACGCGGTCGCAGACGCATGCACGGCCGGGCAGGGGGCAGCCGTTGTTGAGAAAGCCCTTGCAGCGCCAGCAAAAGTACGAGGAGCAGCGGGTACAGGTCATGTGCGAGCAGCCATGGTTTCTCTGGATGCGGGCGGCGCAGGCGGGACAGGCCTTGGTGTGGACTGTGGCCCAGAGGGAAAACAGGGCGGCGTGGGCCTTGTTGGGCTTGCGGGTGGCGCAGACATGGGTGGCGGATGGCACGTTAGGGTCCAACGAAGGGACAAGCTTGTCGCACTTGACGCAGTTATGGGCGCGGCAGCGGGTACACTGCACGACGGAGCGGTCGGGCGCGGCGGAGGCGACAATGCCCAGAAACTCCCAGCACATGTCCGTGGCGCACCAGCGGGCATCGGGGTACGGGCTGTAGCGGTCGCGCGAGCGGAAGTAGAGCATCTTGCGGAAGGTGCGCTCCTTGACGACGGCGACGATGTCTGCGTCTGTGGCGAAGACGCCGCAGCCGCCGTACATGCAGAGCAGACGGGCGTGGTTGCCCGAGTAGATGGCGCTGGTCCAGTACTTGTCGACGCAGGGGGCGCAGTAGCGGTGCGTGCAGGCGGCGCAGCCGCGCAGCAGGGCCGGCGGGACGTGCTCGCAGCACACGTCGCACAGGATGGGCGGCGTGACGGGCGGAGGCGGCGGCGGCGGGGGTGGCGGGCGCGGGATGGGGCGGGGCGCCCCGCGGACTTGCGCGACGACGGCGACGTGGGAGGGGCGCATGGTGCGGGTGGGAGGGGGGGAAAGGTCCGGTCTGGTTG